TCTTTTTCTAGGGAGACAGAGGCGATGTATTTTCCTTTTTTTAAAAAAAATGTTTAAGGGCCGGCCCGTGGCTCACTCGGGAGAGTGCGGTACTCATAACACCAAGGCCACAGGTTCGGATCCCTATACAGGGATGGCCGGTTAGCTCACTGGCTGAGCGTGGTGCTGACAACACCAAGTCAAGGGTTAAGATCCCCTTACCGGTCATCTTTTTAAAAAAAAAAATGTTTAAGATAATAGCTCCCGGGTTTTTTTATGTTGAATGTGCACATACACGGCTTTTGCCATTTCAACCACGTTTAAGTGTGCACTCTGTGGCGTTCAGCACGTGCACGATGTTCTGCTGCCGCCACCAGCCTCCGTCCCCAGAACTGTCTCATCTTCCCAAACTGACACTCTGTCCCCTTAAACACCGATCCCCACCCCAGTCCCCCAGCCCCTGCACCCACCACTCTACTTTCTGTCTCTATGGGTTTGGCGACTCCAGGAACCACACAAGTGGAGTCATACGGCATTTGTCCTTTGGTGACTAATTTTTTTAAAGGCAGTGCATGTCTTTTGGGAAAGGGCAGATAAGCGCAGGGAATGAGGTGAGCATCGCCGCCGTCCCTGTGTGCCTTCCTCCCCCAGGTGGCCCTGGCTAGCACTTTGGGGGGCTCCCCTCTAAGTCACTACTTCTCTTGGCAAAAGCTGGATTTTTTGCATGTGCTGTGGTACCCCCTTTCCTGTGCTACGTGTTCCCAGCCATGCTCGGGGCCCGGCAGGAGGTGCACAGAGCCCTGCTCACTGCTGCTGGGGGAAGCCGCTGCGGTCTGAAAAGGGTGCCAGCTGCCCAGCTATGCACCAGCCTGGGGCGTTGGTCAGAGGTGCTGTTTAAAGGCTCCTGAGTGGCTGCCAGACGGGGACCTTTTCCTGGAAATTCTTCCGGAATCTCTCTCCCCATGCTGCCCCTTCTTTTCGCTCTGCTCCAGACTCCAGCTACCTGAGCACGGCTGGGCGTAGAACTGAAGACAAGTCATCTTCGAGCCGGGGACTTGAGCTCTCCAGGGTCTGCCAGCACCAGGCTTCGGGTGAGTCGCTGAGCCACTGGCTATCCTGGTGCTCTGGGATGGACACTCAGGCTGCAGTGTGGACAGCACGTGCCGGGCCCCACTCTCAGAGGAGGATGCTGGGGTCAGAGAGGACCCCAGCTGGGGAGCCTTCGCGTGGGGATTTGGAGCTAGCCTGCCATTCTCTGGAGCCTGCGTCCTAATCCTCTGCCTTCCCAGTGGGGAAGGAATCCAGGCAGGACCTGCAGGGCAGGGGAGCTGGGCAGGGCGTCTCCTCACTGAGAAATCTGCACAGTGTAGGCGATATCTTTCCTGCATCGTTGTATACCTGCCTGAGGTCTTCCAGGTCCTTGCCAGCTCCTGGGCCTGCTATTCCACTGTCTCAGTCGCTCTCTGGCCCTGCCTTGCCTGGGAGATGCCAAAGGGCTGGCAGTGCGTCTGCAGACTTCTAAACACGTGGGGGAGGGTGCAGAGGCCAAGGGAACTGCTAGGTTTTTGCTCACTCATTCATTCGACAAACGGAAGGGGGTGAGGATGGAGAGGTGGATGGGAGCCGCTCCTGGGGGCTGCAGGAACGTGGCTTCCTCCCTGGGCAGTGGGAGCCATCTGAAGGTTTTAAGCAGGGCAGCTGCGAGTTTGGGTTTCTGCAGGCTCACTGCTTGCAGGGTCGGGAGTGGGTGGAGGAGTCTGTCTCCACAGTCCAGAGAGAGGCAGACTCCTGCAAGATTTTGGAGACCTTGGAATGGGACAGGGGGCAGAAGCTTGGGAGCGGAGGTGTTTCGGGGACTCCCCCGGGTCTGGCTGCCCCAGGGTGCCCTTGGCTTTTGGGTTCTCTGGCCCAGGGGAATAGAGTGGGTTTTCCAAGGGCCGGTGGGAGGAGCGTGAGAAGAGAGTCAGGGGGCCGGCCTGTGGCTCACTCGGTAGAGTGCGGTGCTGATAACACCAAGGCCACGGGTTCGGATCCCATATAGGGATGGCCGGTTCGCTCACTGGGAGAGTGTGGTGCTGACAACACCAAGTCGAGGGTTAAGATCCCCTTACCGGTCGTCTTTTTTAGAAAAAAAAAAAAAAAAAGAAGAGAGTCAGGTCCCCAGGGGATGATTGCTGCCCATCCTAGTGGTATGATTGGTCAGCACTCCAGCCAGGACCCTGCTGGGCAGCAGTCACAGGCACGTTTTTGGGTGCATGTCTCGCCCCTTGTGATGTGTGAGCCAGGTGCAGGGTCCCAAAGGCTGGCCCGATTGGCAGCCGGGGGGCAGAACCCCCTCCCCGAGCCCAGCTCTGGCCATCGTGGAGCCAGCCAGCAGCTCCCCACCATGGCCAGCTGCCCAGTCCGGCTGCAGCTCACGGCAAGCCCTCCATCTTCCTCCTCCTCGTCCCACAAGGGCCCCGGGGGTATCCGCTGGTCCAGTGGGCCATTCTCCCCGCCCTGCCTGGGGAGGCTGCTGGAGCCCACTGGTCAGTTGAGGGCTCGGCCCCCAGCTCTTGGCCGTCACCTCTCCATACTCCCAGCTTCAGAGCCCTCCAGAATCAGGGTGTGGAGGAAGGCCTCGTTTTTTTATTTGTAGTAAAATACACGTAGCGGGCCGGCCCGTGGCTCACTCGGTAGAGTGCGGTGCTGATAACACCGAGGCCCCGGGTTCGGATCCCATATAGGGATGGCCGGTTAGCTCACTGGCTGAGCGTGGTGCTGACAACACCAAGTCAAGGGTTAAGATCCCCTTACCGGTCATCTTTAAAAAAAAAAAAAAAAAAAAAAAAAATACACGTAGCATGGCATTTACCATCTTAATGACGTTTAAGCTCACAGTCCACTGGCACTAAGTATGTTCACACTGTTGTGCAGCCGTCACCACCGTCCATCTCCAGAACTTTTTATCCTCCAAACTGAACCTCTGTCCCGATGAAACACCAGCTCCCCATCCCCCAGCCGCTGGCACCCACCCCTTTGCTTCCTGTGTCTGGACCTGAGTACTCTAGGTTCCTCGTGTCAGTGGAATCCTGCAGGATTTGTCCTTCTGAGACAGCCTGAGTCTTGAGACCCCTCCTGCCTGCAGGGTTGGGGCGTGAAGAACTGAGGGACAGAACAGGGGCAGACCTGGTGGCATCTGGAGGCCTAGAGACTCCTTTGGGCCAGAGCCGTCCTCTGCAAGCCCCTGGCCCCATGGGACATGGCAGGCTCTGCCCCTCTGTCACACAGCTCACTGGCTGTGTGGCTTTTCGGTGCTTCCCAGATGCAGCCCAACCCCAGCTGTGTACAGAGACCACAGAGGTCAAATGGGGCAGGGAAAAGTAACCAGACAGGGGCTCAGGGAGCCAGGTCCACTCTGGCCACTGCACCTGCTGCAAGACGTCGCACAAACCCCGCCCCCCAGCGTCTCCGTTTCCTCATGGTCAGCCAGAGGGGTGGACCCCACCGGACCAGGGCCCCTCTGGCTCTAGGCCTTGCTGCTCTTCCCCCGGCCCAGGCAACGTTCAGTCCTGCCGGCCGCCGCGTCTGGGTGCACTTGGGGCATGGCTCCTTCCGTCGTTCATTCCACAGTCATGAGTGCCTGTGGGCCAAGCCCCGAGCTGGGCACTGGGACAGAGATGCAAGGTGGCTCCTGTCCTCAGGGGCTTGGGGCCCATGGCAGGGGGCCACCAGACACATGGGAGGGCATTTGCATCCAGTCGGCTGTGCTGCAAGGGAGGGGGCGGAGTGCCCTGTCCCCACGCGGAACACCGGGAGGGGACATGGCATCAGATGTGGTCCCTGGGCTCCCTAGCTCACCCATGCAGGACCAGGGAGCAGGACTGGCTGGGGCTTGCCTGGCTCAGCTCCAGGGGCTCCATTCACACAGAACCCTGGGTTGCCGGTGGTTGGGTGCCTGTGTGTTGTCCCTGCTCACCTCCCTCCCTTCTGTCCCCTCTCTCCCTTCTCGCTGAAGTTCTGCGGGAGAAAACCAAAAGGATCAAAAGCAGCTCTTGCAAAAGAGAGAAAGCCCCCAAGTTGCCCTCCCCCAGGAGAGCTGCCAAGGACAAAGGTAAGGCGTGCTCATCCGGGGCTGGGCAGGGCTTGGGGACGGGTAGGCAGATGGCTTTTGCTTCTGGTGCCAGGCCGCCTGGACTCTGGGCAGGGTTCTGGGGGTACGTGGGACCAGTGGGGCCTGGCTGGAGCATCTGTGTCTGTGTCTCAGGCAGCTGGCACCCTGGCCACCACCGGAGCAGTGGTGGTTCCTGCTTGAGCAGGGCGTGTGCCCTTGCGATAGAAAGTGCGCCCTTCACCTCCTGCACGCCGGGGAGTCTGCAAGGGCGCAAAGCCCCTCAGTGTGCCCCAGCAGCCTTGGTAGTCTGCCCCTCCTAAGGGCGGCTGTGCACACTTGCAAGGGTGGAGGTGACGTTGGGTGGCACCCAATGTGCCTGCCTGGCAGGAGGAGTGTTTGCTCTCGCTGTTCTGCAGTGGGAGCCTGGCGGAGGGAACGAGTCTCCTTGGCCAGCCTGCTGTGGGGGTTAGAACTCCAGGCAGCAAGCCCAGAGCGTCTGCCTTCACCTGAGCGCCTGGTGGTAGGAAAGGGCCTGGGGTAGATCCAGCCCTCGCCGACAGCTTTAGGGACTTGTGGTCACCCAAGGGCGCAAGTCGGCCAAGCGTGTGTGACAGTGAATTTCACAGATGTGTCCTGGAGAGTTCTGTGAGGTGGTCCTGCTGGTGGTGGGCCGGTAGTCACAGGGGAATTTCTCACTCAGGCATCTCCTCCCTGAGCACTGGGCATGGTGTTGGTTCCCTGCAAAGACCTGGCCACCTGGCCTGGGCACAGTTTTTGGTGCTTGTGGGATGAATCCAGGAGGGGCCCCCACCCTTGGGCTGTGTATAGGTGTGTGGAGAACAGAGAAAGGGAGGCAGAGTCCCTCTGGGGCTTTCCTTTGGAATGTTCTTGAGGTCAGGGTGGAGTGGCCACAGTTGGCACCGGGCTACGTGTGTGCCATGCACTCTGCAGGCCTTAGAGCTCTGCACCCTCACGGCCGTCTTCTGGGGTAGGCGGGTTTGCTCCCGTTCTGTAGATAAGGGAACTGAGGTGTGGGGAGGTTTGATGGCTGCCCAGGGCCACACGGGCAGAGCCAGGTCTGGGCCCTAACCCATCCAGCCTGAGGCCTGTGCTCCTGACCTGAAGGCCCAGCCACATGTGCCTGGGACGCCCTGTCTAGGCCCACCCTCCAGGCCTAGGCTGTGCAACCCCCGAACCATCGGATTTTGGGGACCCCACGGAGAGCCCCCCAGGTGGGGAGAACACTACTCACGGGGGCTGATGCCTCCTTGGTGAGACCCTTAATCTAAGCATAAGCAGCACCAAGGGCTGCGGAGGAGCAGCCCCTGTGACTGTCTGTGCCTCAGTTTCCCACCACTGTGTGAGATCACAGTGAGGAGACCCCTGGGGTGGGCAGTGGGTGGGGTGTGCTCTGTCCATGCCCAGGCTCCTGTGCTTCTGTCCAGTGTCATCAGACACCCACCTCCTGCTTCCAGCGGAAGAAATACATCCCTTCCTTCACTGTACCCACACCCTGCGCAGGGTGCTGAGGGGCTGGGAAGCCTAGTGAGCCTCACGCATTGGGGCAGACATATTCAGCTGGGCCAGAGGTGACTCAACAGAGGAAGGAAGGCCTCCACGCAGGCCCGAGAGTGAGGGACTCTGAGGACACTGAGAAGGTTCCAGAAGGCCCATAAAAATGCATAAAACATAATCTTCTGCATCACCATCTTCTCCCTCCCCCAGATATTTTGTTTGCTTTATTTTAATGGCTCACTTGAAAAATGACCCGCTTTCTGCCTGACACAGGGTCAGAGGGCATGCCACCGGCCGCATCCATCATCCCTACCGCCGTGTCACCCTGGCGGTGCTGACCATTAGTTTCTGTCAGGGCTGAAGTCACAGCTGGGCTAAGGAGAGATGCGTCTGGGTTCAGAGGTCAGAGCCACAGGACTTGGGAATTGGATGAATTAGAAATTTGCTGTAGTTAACAAAAAATTAAATCACAATAGTTATAAAATATTCATCCATCTAGGCTGAAGGAAAATGAAGCCCCATACTTAATTTCAGATTATATCACCTCACTTTGCATTTTTTATCATAGATTAGGTCGGCCTGGAGCTTTGACAGGGCACTTGGGGACTTCCTCCATTTCCACAGATTAAAAATCCTCTCGTAAAAAAATTAATTGCCATTAAACTGCTCAACGGGGGAAAAAAATGTGCCCATCAGGACCCATTGATCGACCGGGACCCTCCGGCGGACTGACGGGGAAGCTGCGCGGCCAGTGATGGAGGGGCCGGGGGCGGGCGCTGCAGGGAGCCCGGAGAGCTGCAGCCCCTCCGCACGCCGGGCTCTCCAGCCCAGCGCCCCGTGGAGGGAGCGTAGCCAGCTTCAGGCAGCGGGGCAGCAACAGGGCCAGGATGAGAAAAGAAACCTCTCTGGGGAGTCCAGCCCCACTGGTCCCCATCCCGGGGTCCCACTGAAACCCAGAAGTGGCCAGCTTGGCCATGCTGGCCTCTGCTCTGGCCTCTGACTCCACCCTGAGCCGGCAGAATCCTGACCCCCTCCAGCCCAACCCCTGCAAGGACAGTGATCACTCTTTCATCTTTGTGGCCCTGTGAGAGGTGCTGGTCGATATGCTGCTCCCCATTTTACAGATGGGGAAACTGAGGCACAGGGAAGTTAAACACTTCCCCAAGGCATGTAGCTGGGCAGTGGCAGAGCCAGACTTACACCCAGGTCTGGGACTCCTGAGACTACTCTCTTAACATCCTGTATTAGTTCGTTCATCAGGGATCCGCTCCCATGACCGAAACAGCTTACAGCACTGCAACATTGGGAACCAAGTTTCCAGGGGTTTTGGAGGGGACAACACATCCAAACTGCATCATTCCGCCCCTGGCCCCCCCAAATTCATGTCCCTCTCACATACAAAATACAATTATTCCATCCCAACAGTCCCAAAAGTCTTAGCTTGTTCCAGCACCAACTTAAAAGTCCAAAGTCTAAAGTCTCATCTGAGGGCCGAGCCCGTGGTGCACTCGGGAGAGTGCAGCGCTGGGAGCACAGCAGCACTCCCGCCGCGGGTTCGGATCCTATATAGGGATGACCGGTGCACTCACAGCGCTCACTGGCTGAGCACGGTGCGGCCGGTCTCAAAAAAAAAAAAAGAAAGAAAATAAAAATAAAAAAAGAAATAAAGTCTCATCTGAGACCAAAGGCTAAACTCCTTCCAGCTGTGAACCTGTGAAAATCAAAACCAAATTTATCTATTGCCAAGATACAATGGTGGAATAGACACTGGGTACACATTCCCATTCTAAAAGGGAGGAATAGGCCAAAAGAAAGGAGAAACAGGTCCCAAACAAGCCCGAAATCCAGCAGGGCAGATATTATGTCTTTAAAGCTCCAAAGTAATCTTTGACTCCAACTCCTATATCCTGGGCACAATTGGGCATCTGGGCCCCCAAAGTCTCAGGCACCCTCATTCCCACGGCTCTGCCAGGTATAGCCCGTTGGGCTGCGCTGGTGCCTGCAGCTTTTCCAGGCCAGTGTTGTGCATTGCCAGTGGTTCTACTAGACATTTCCCTGATGGGGGCTCTCTGTGGGGCCTCCAACCCCACTTTTCTGCTTGGCATTGTTCTAGTAGATGGCCTCTGCGGTGGCTCTGCCCCTGCAGCAGGACTCTGCCTGGGCCCCCAGGCTTTTCCATACATCCTCTGGAATCTGGGTGGAGGCTGCCACACCTCCACTGCTTTCACGTCCTGCCAGCCTGCAGACTTAACACAACGTGGATGCCACCGAGGTTTCAGGCTTCTACTCTCCAGAGCTGCTGCATGAACCACACTTGGGGCCATCTGAGGCAGGGCTGCTCCAGCCAGAGCAGCTGGGATGTAGGGACCAGGTTCCCAAGAGCAGCTGTGCCCCAGGTCTGTCCTCTGGAACAACTCAGTCCTTCTAGACCTCAGGTTCTGTGATGGGTGGGGCACCCTTCCAGACTTCTCAAATGCCTTCAGGACTTTACATCATTTTTTTGCTGCCGTAACTCAGAGTAGGCTATTAAAAGTAACCATGCAGCTTCCTTAATGCTTTGCTGCTTATTTCTTCTGCCAGACATTCTGGTTCACAACTATTAAGTCCCACCTTCCACAAAGTCCAAGGGCATGGATACAATGCAGCCAAGTTCCTTGCTAAAGTGTAGCAAGTGTTATCTTTTGTCCAATTACTGATAAGTTCCTCATTTCTATCTGAGACCTCATCATCCACATGGTCTTTACTGTCCACATTTCTATCAACATTTTGGTTGCAACCATTTAATCTCTAAAATGTTCCAAACTTTCCCTCATATTTTTGTCTTCCTCTCAGTCCTCTCCTCATTTCTATCTGAGACCTCATCATCCACATGGTCTTTACTGTCCACATTTCTATCAACATTTTGGTTGCAACCATTTAATCTCTAAAATGTTCCAAACTTTCCCTCATATTTTTGTCTTCCTCTCAGTCCTCCAAATTCCTCCAACTGTTGCCCATTACCCAGTTCCAAAGCTGCTTCCACATTTTCAGGTATCTGTATAGCAACACCCCACTTCTGGTACCAATTTTCTGTATTAGTCCATTCATGAGGGATCTGCCCCCATGACTCAAACAGCTTCCAGCACTGCCACATTGGGGATCAAATTTCTACATGAGTTGTGGAGGGGACAACACATCCAAACTCCATCACCTCCCATGGCCACAGGGCTCCTGTCCTAGAAAGAGTGTGGCCTTAAGAGGGCATGGCCTTGGGCCCTGTCCTAAAGTGGGTGTGGCTTGGAGAGCATGTCTCAGTGTAGCCCATTTCCTTTTCTGGAAAGGGAGCTTCAGGCCTGAGGCTGATGATGTGGGCTCAGGGAAGTTTGGGGAGGTTGCCATGTCTGGGGGTGCTAGGGAAGTCCCTGACTCAGTCTGGTAGCTTGCCCCTGGGGGTCAGCTTTCTGGATGGTCCCTGCCATAAGATACCCTTGTTTGACAGAAATCATCCCTGCATGGAGGCAGGGCTAGCCTTGGCTGAAACCACATGGTGGTCTTGATCTTGGGCCCCATGGTGGTTGTACCACCCCAGGCTGGCTCCCAAAGTAGGTGCATGGCAGGGGCCAGGATCCAGGACAGGTGTGGACCTGGCCTTGTAGAGCCAGCTGGACCTAGGGCAGCATGTGAGTATGTGTGTGAGCGTGTGTGTGCATGTGAGAGTGCCTGAGCATGTGTGCGAGTGTGCATGTGAGCAAACATAAGTGTGCATGTGTGAGGGTGTGTGCAAGTGCATGTGGGAGTGCATGTATGTGTGTGCATGTGTGAGTGCATGTGAGCATGTCTGTAAGTGCACATGGGAGCGTGTGTGTCTGTGTAAGTGCATGTGTGAGCATGTGAGTGCATGTGAGAGTATGTGTACATGTGTGTGAGCACGTGTGAGCATGGGAGCCTGTGTGATCATGTGTGTGCACATGTGAGTAAGTGCATATGGAAGTGTGTGTGAGCCTGTGTGCATGTGTGTGAGCATGAGTGTGGGAGCGTGTGTGAACGTGTGTGTGCACGTGCGAGCGCCTGAGCATGCATGTAAGCATGCGTGTGTGAGGGTGTGTGTAAGTGCGTGTGGGAGTGCGTGAGAACATGTGAGACCGTGTGTGAGTGTGTGAACAAGAGGCTGGCCACTGCTTCCCATCTCCGCCAGGGCCTGTGTGGATGGGTTTGCGATGACCGTGAGCTGGTATTTGTGTTTGGTGAATGCAATCTGGGATCATGAAGTAAAACCTTGATAAGTGGTGTGTATTATGTCCAACATTTATTAAAGAAAGCTCATCTGGGCTAGGGATGTGTTGGATCGTTTGTCTCTGCAATACCTAGGACCCTCGTCCTGCCAGCCTGGGGTCTCCATTGACCCCCACCTGTGGCTTTTGATTCACCAGCTTAAAAACAGATTAATTTCCTCTGGCTCAGTGCGCATGATCCGCGACAACCTCACCTCCCTCACCGCTGCTGCGGTGAGCCCCGAGCTGTGCTGCATGTGCAGCAGGGGCCGTCCCGGGGCTGCGGGCCATCATCATTTTTACTGCTCTGGTCACTGGCCAACGTTTACTGAGCATGCGCTGCATGTCTGGACCTGTGTTGAGCACTTCCAGACAAAGCTGTCGGGAGCAGATCACCCTCGATTTACTGAAAAGGATACTGAGGGTCAGAGTAGTCAAGTCACTTCATTACAGTCGCTCTGGGACGCAGCCTTGCCCAGTGCTGGCTCGTGGCTGCTGGTCTGGCTCTGCCCCACAAGGGCCCAGACGTGAGGGGTTTCTCCCAATCCCCTCCAGGAGTGTGTGAAGTCATCTCCTTGGGACAGTGTTTGGAGGTCCATGTGTGCCCCGGTGGTGTGTGTGTGTTTTCTCTGTTTAAGATTCTGAGTTGGTTGGTGTTCACGCCTGGAGAAAAGGACAAGCTCTGGTGAGGTTGCTGCTCGGGCCCCCTCCCGCCCTCCCCAGGCTCCAGAGCAAGGCACCCTCAGGAGACCCAGCCCCCGCCGCAGAATTAGGTACCTTGTGCCTCTGCCGTGGGCTCCGTCCTGCTTTGCTGTGGCATCTAGGGGGTGGGCATGGAGGAGGAGGTGCCCTGTCTCCAGGCAGCCTGGGAAGAAGGAGATATCGGGTACCTCTCTCAGCAGCCTGCCAGAAGCCCTCCAGATCCGCCATCGGGGTGGCTGGTTGGCTCGCTTGGTGAGAGCGCAGTGTTGATAACCCCAAGGTCCAGGGGTTCAGATCTCTTTACCAGCCAGCCACCAAAAGAAAAAAAAAATCTGCCATCAGGGAGGGAACTTTGGGGAATAATTATTTTTAAAAGCCTAAGAAGAGGATTTCTGTCTGTGGGGCTCCCTCATCAGCTCTGGGGCAGGGTGGGCATCAGCGCCCCCTGAGGGAAGGGCTGCAGGACAGGGCTGGCAGTGGCTCTGCAGTGCTCGCCCCACTGCCTGCATTTGGGCTCAGTGGCCACTCTGCCCAGAGCTGGTGGCCCTGTGCCAGGCAGAGCCTCGAGGCACCCAGACACCTGCCCTCAGGGCTCCTGCATGTGGATGAGGAGTGTGGAAGGGACGGGGCAGGGCTGGGCCCGAGGGCTGCTCCCTCCCGCCTGCCCGCCGCTCCTGATGCTCCTCCCGGGGGCCTGTCTTTGCAGGAGACGGCAAGAGAGTTGCAGCTGCCCAGCGCTTGCCTGTCCACGACCGGTCGCCCAGCCCCACCTCTGCCCGCAGTGGCCAGCAGGTGTCTGATGACACACCCAGCCGGACTTCCTGTAATCCGCCAGAGACAATCCAGACTGCGATGGCCATCCTGCGAGACCTCCGCCAGCAAATCCAGGCCGGGCTGGAGTTGGCCCAGGGCCACAGGAGGGGACGGAAGCTGCAGCAGCCCAAGCTGTGTCCACGGGACCTGGCACAGCGGAGTCAGCAGGGTCTCCCGAGTGCCCCGGATGCGCAGGGCTCCTTGGCGAAGAGTCCCTGGGTCTCAGCAGAAGGAAAGTGCTACCCTTTAGAGAGGGCTGGGAGCTCCCCCACCCGGCGGCCCTGGAGCCCCTCAGTCAAGTGGCAAGCCTGTCCGCAGAGGGCCTGGGTGGCCCGAAGACAGGGCCCCTCTTTCCAGAGACCTGGCAGCCCCCCTGAGAGGCTGGGCTCTTTCTCCCAGCGGCCCTGGAGTGCCTCGGCCGGGCAGGCTTGGGCGCCTTATGAAGACCGGGAGGTCCCTGCCCCTAGAACCTGCAGCCCTCTGGAAAGACACGCCCCTGCCCAGCGTCCTTGGAGCACCTCCTTTGTGCAGAGGGCTGGCGCCCCGGGCAATGGCAGAGGCGACGTCCCCGCTCCCTCGGGAGCTAAGCATTCCTGGCCGAGGCCCACCCGGAGTGTTCCTCAGAACCTGCCCAGGAAGGAGAAGGACATACCACTGTCACCGCCACCCTCCCCGAAGCCCCAGGGGCCCCTCGGCCACCAGCACAGCTCTGAGTCTGTGCGGGAGTTCGTGCGCCAGAAGGCGCTGGCCCGGCAGTGGCAGGCCCTGGAGGAGAAGGCCTCGGCCATGCGGACTCTGGAGCTGAGAAACCAGAGGCTGCAGGAAGTCTACAGGCAGCAGAGGGAGGCCGTCCTCGGCAAAGCCGTCCCTGTGGTCTCCCAGACCAGCCCCAGCATCGTCACCTTCGTCCCCAGTTCTGCACAGTCTGGGGTACGTGCTGTGGGTGAGGGTGGGATGGGAGGTTCCAGCAGAGCTTGATTTCCCTTCGACCTTGCTTGAGGGGAGCCCCTAAATGCCTGCCTCCCTGGATACAACAGGCATCCCCCTGCCCAGCTCCGGAGGGATCCCCTGCCTCTGTCACAGCCCCTGAAGCAAGACCTCCAATATTCTGCGACGGTCTGAAGAATCTGGCCTGAGCCCCCTGGGGGAGGCCGAGAGATGGGGTCATGCTGCATCCTGGCCTGGGGGGCTCTGACTGCTTCCTCCTCTGTTTCAGGGTCTGGAAGCCCCTGGGAGCCTGGAGTCACCGGTGCTGCAGTGGAGCAAGGTGACCTCCGGCGTGATGCTGGGGGACCAGGAGGCCCGGGGCAGGTGGGTGTGAGGGTACAGACACGCTTACTGGGTGGGGCTGAGGCCAGGATCCCCCCACCGCCTGCAGCACCAGCCCACGCTGCAGAGAGGGCGGCCACTCCGCACTTGTGTTCACGTCAAACTTAATGAGCCATTTTAAAGTGCATGATTCCTCGGCACTTTGTGTGTTCACAATGTCGTTCAGCCAGCACCTCCGTCCAGTTCTGAAACATCTATCACCCCAAAAGGAAACTCACACGCATTAAGCAGCACCCCAGCCCTTGCCCAGCTCCTGGAAGCTGCCGATCTACTCCCTGCCTCTGTGGGTTGCCTGTTCCTGGCATTTCATGTCAATGGGTCTGGCTTCTCTCGCTGATCATGATGTTTTCAGGGTTCACCCGTGGGGTGGCGTGTGTCAGAACTTCACTGCTTTTGCAGTTGAGTAACATTCTCTTGTGTGGATGGACCACACTGTTTATCCATCACGCGTTGATGGACGCTTGGGCTGTTTCCTCCTCTTGGCTACTGTGAATTGTGCACCAAGAGGTGGAGAGCCTATTCCTGGACCACACCCTGACATGCCAGGTCTGCAGAGCAGCCCAGGAGTCTGCATTTGTAAACATTTAAAGCTGATGTCAGGTTCCAGTTAGACGAGGACACCGGAGCCATGCATGCACCTGGGCGGGCATTCACAGCCTGAGCCACCCGTGCAGTGGCACCAGACCCGCACCCCCAGGGGCAGCCCCTCCCTGACTGGCAGGCTGGCTCCATGCGACGCTGGTGAGGCTGGTCCTCATTGTCCTGGAGGCTATGGGTCCCTGCTGTCACTTCATTGTGTCCTCGTCCCTTATTTTCCACTTAAAAGAATTGTGGTGAGTACACGTAACCTCGTGTTTGTCATCTTAGCCGTTCTTGGGTGCACAGCTCAGTGGCATGAAGTCCATTCTCATTATGGTGCAGCCGTCACCACACTCCGTCTCCAGCACTTTCTCACCTTCCCAAACTGAACCGCTGTCCCCACGAAACACACAAACTCCCTCTGCCCTCCCCCAGCCCCCGGCACCCACCCTTCTGCGTCTGCCTCTGTGGATCTGACTCCCCGAGGGACCTCCTGTCAGTGGACCGCTGCGGCGTTTGTCCAGTTGCGCCCACTCATTTCCTGCAGCACAGTGTCCTCGGGGCTCACCCGGGCTGCAGCACGTGTCAGAGCCCCTTCCTCCTTTAGGCTGCGTAACATCCCTTGTGTGCATCGGCCGCCCCGTGTTAATCCATCATCCTGTAGGCATTCGGGCTGTTTTCCCCTTTGGCTGCTGTGAACACGGTGTGCAAATGTCTGTCCATGTCCCTGCTGTCAGTTCTTCTGGACATGTGCCCCGAAGTGGAGTTGCTGGACCGAATGGGAGTCCTGTGTTTGACATTTGAGGACCCGCCAGCTGCAGCACCCCACATTCTCACCGGCCGTGCATGGGCTCCCGATTCCCCATGTCCTCGCCACACTCGGTCTTTTTCACAGCCGCGTGTGCTCTGTTGTTTGGGTGCCGCGGCCATCTCCCTGCTCCCCTGTGAGCAGACATCAGGTCTGTCACAGATGCTGCCAGATGCTGGTCATTGTACATGCGTGTTTTCCACACGCTGCCAGCTGTGGCTGAGCCCGGCCTAAGCCTGTCCCTGCGTCTCTCCCTGCAGCTTCTGCCTGTGTCTGAACAGAGCCTGGAGCCGCGCCAAGGCCCTGGAGATGGGAGATCCCCGGGGCGGCTGCAATGCTGCCCCATCGCTGCCGTCTGCCACTTGCCCCCTGGGGCCCCTGAAGCTCCAGGACCTGACCACCCACTACCTGCCCCACGGGCTGTGCGTCTGCCTGGACCCCCAGGACACTGAGCACCCCGAAGCATCCATGCCCCTGCACTTGGAACACAAGCAGGCGCGGCTGCAGGCGCTGGAGACCATGGCCAGTGTCCTCAAGCAGCGGATCGACATCCTGACCGACAAACTGCACAGGCCCGAGGCACTGGACGCTGTTGGGGACTGGGCCTCAGACCTGCCACCTTTGGGCCCCTGCAGCGTGCCTGCTGCCCCCGCACTCACCGCCCCAAACTGCTCTGGAGCCTTGGTGCCCGGCGGGGGCAGAGGGGCGCCCCAGGACGGGGAGGGCATGCAGGCCCAGCCCCTCCTGTCCCCCACCTACTTCCTGGATGGCCCTGGCTGGGAGTGGCAGCAGAGTGAGAGCCTGTGGGCCCACCACAAGGGCAAGCCCCAAGGTAGGGGCCTAGCCTGCCAATGACCACCAGCCCCACTGGGTGCTAAGGGGCCTGTGGGCCGGGAGCAGCAAGGACCCCGTTTTCTCTCTGCCCCTGGGTTTCATCTCTGGAAACGGAATCAGAGGACAAGAGCGAGGATTTGTCCGGGGGAACTGCAGGTTGGCACATGGCCAGCCCGCCCGTGCAGCAGCTGCTGTCACTGTCTTGTCCTCTGGCCGGGGGGAGGTGAAGCTGCTCCCGTGGCCCCTGTGGCCGCCGCCTCCCTGCCCTGCCTCCCACAGAGGGGCAGAGGTGGACAAGGTGCCGTGTGCCCTGCTGGGCTGAGATCTGAGCTGCTCAGGCACTCCAGCTGTGGGTGTCTGGGGTCCCCCTTCCTCACTGCCCACCCAGGGGAAGGAAGTCACAGTGTCTTTTCCCCAAAGGTTTCGTGGAGAAGGGATGTTCGGAGCTGGAGAAGAGGCCGCAGAGAAGTGCGGCTCCCTTCCGGGCCCGCAGCCCCTTTGCAGGCGGGTAAGCTCGGAGCCCCCTCTCAAGCCCTGGCTGTGTCAGGGCCTTGACTGTGTCACAAGCCACCAGGGGTTGCCTGTCCCCCCCCCCCAGTATGTCCCCCTTGCACTGGTCCAGGGGTCAAGCCCAGGAGTCTGGTGCCACCAGGCTGAGCAGGGGAGTGACCCAACTCCCTGAACCCAACCCAGGTCACGCTGGTTCTGATGCTGGTTGGGGAAGCCCATGACACTCAGTGGCCCTCGGACACCTCTGTGGCTGGGCCGTGTGCAGTGAGTCTTTGACCCAAGCCCCCCGCTGAGAGTTGAGGAGCCCGGGGAGGTACTCCCCCTTAAATGCTCCTTTGCCCTGGCTCCGAGCCTTCAGGAGGTGCTGCTGTCATGGCTCTTATTGGTTTTTGGCAAACAGACTATGTCAGGGACACGGGTTTGGGCATCCAGGCCCCACACCCCCTAAGTTCTCAGGTCCACCTGCATCTTCCTCTGGCTTTGGTCCTTGGCATTGGCTGTGGCTTATCTGGGGACCACATCACACAGGAGCATTTGAAGTCCCTTCCCTGGGGACACTGCACCTACTCTGAGCCCCCAGGCCCCTCGTGGCTCTGACTATCCTCCCCATCTTAGGAGGAGCATCTTCTTGCCCCCACCCCTTCCCTGTGGCCCCCACCCAGTCCCCAGGCTGCAGTGGGGTCCCTGGAAGTTTCTGTCCACTGAGGGGCTCTGCAGGTTGAAACTGAGTGAGATGCTTGCTGGAGCAGGACTGACCCTCATCCAGGGCCCCCTCGGGGACCAGCGGTGCCTTCCTGTCCCCAGTGTCACCCAGTCCTTCCTGTGGCTCCCTGCCCAGTGCGTGCCACCAGAGGTTCCCAGACCACTGGCAGCAGACCCCAACCTGGCCCGAGAGCCCATCTCCAGGCAGCCCAGGAACCCAGGCTTGAAAACTCAGTGCTGTGACCAGAAAAACACACAGCCAAGGGTGGGGGGTTTCTGGAAGAAGACAAGCCAGTGGTTGTCGCAGAGGGCTTACCTTGCCCAGTGCTGGTGCCCACCAGAGTCCAGCAGGGGCACCTGAGACATCTGCTCAGGGCCCAGGGCTGCCCTTGGCCTGGCAGCCGGGTTAGTGGGCCTTGCAGCCGGTTCTCCCATGGGACTCGCCCGCACAGAGGGTGTGACAGTAACGGCACGTGTTTACTGACACGAGAATGAGGACTTGTGTTGAGACCTCACTGGGGCAGCTTCCATGCTTAGGATGCAAACGGGGGATGGGGTCGCTCTAATTCTGAGGTTTTTCCCGGTGTACCCCTGCATGTGGGGCTGCCTCAGGGAGGGGGCTCAGGTTCAAGTCCCAGTTCTCTGCCTGGAAGCTGTTGACCTGAGCAAAGTCACGATCCTCCCTGACCCAGAAACCTTATGCCTCCCTGCCCATTCCCCTCGGGACCCACCCCCAACCCTCCTCTCCTGAAGCCCCCCTTGACCTCGAGGGATGGTGGGTCTAGCATTTACATCAGGTCCTCTGAGGTTGTGTCCTATCTCGCCCAGGCTCAGTCCAGCTGGTGGAACCGAATCACTGTGACGGGGGCGGAGGGCGGGGGCAGCACTGGGCTGGACGTCTCCGTCTCTGATACCCCCCCAGCTATTGAGAAAGGGGCAGCAGTGGGGGCGTGAGAATGTTTGGAGAGGGTAATTTCAGGGCCCCAGGCTCTCAGGTGGACAAGCTAGATCTGTCCCCACGGCCCAGGCCCAGATGGTGTGGGAGCTTGGTGTTCCTGGCACAAAGCCATAGACCAGCAGAGGGGCAGAGGGACATTCCCACGATGGCATTCCCACCTGGAGCGGGCCCTGGGCACTGGGTCTGCCCTCCCCCTAGAGCCCTGCCAAGGCTGGAGAGACAGGAAGAGGTGGAAATCGTGTTCATGAGCCATGCCCAGAGGGACCAGGGCTCCTGGATAGGGGGGATTAGGGGCGGCTCAGAGCATGCTGGGCCTTGGTGCATCCATGCCGGGGAGGTCAGGAAAGGCGACCCAGCCTTTAAAAGAGCAGTTGCCACTGCCCACTTAACAGGGCTGGGGCTTTAGTGCCACATGTCCGCTGGCTAGCCTGGGCCTCTGGTCACCTCACCCGCTGCTTTGGGTCCCAGGACAAAAGTCAGCGCTTCCTTCTTTGGCTGTGGCTGTGTCAGGCAGTGCTCTCAAGTGCACACAGCCAGGGCCTGGCCCCCGCCGCCTCTCACGGTGGTTCCTGAGTGAGGGTGGGACTGTCTCCTCCACCACACAGAAACCACAGCACTCAGCAGCAGGTGAGGGACACTGGGGTTTCCGACTGACTGTCCTCTGGGCTTGGGCCCCAGGATGCCACCTACTCAGCATCTACGTCTCAGCCCTAGGGCTGTCCTTCTTTCTGTAACATTCTTTCCCTGTCTGTGACCCCACGGTGCTGTGCAGTCCCCGCCTGGCCTCAACATACACCCATCTCTCCTGTGGCACTGTGAGCTGGGGACATGGGCCACTACCACACCCCAGCCCCTCACAGCACTTGCCCAAAGCAGGTGCATGGCTATCACCTGTGGACCCTGTGGCACCCGTGGGTGCTGGAAGAGGCCAATTCCCCCCCCTAGTGTCCACAGCTACAGGTGTAGGTGGTGTCTGTAGCCACTCAAGCAGATTCCGGGTCACAGTGTGCCAGGACAGAAGGGAACCCTGATGAGAACATGGGGTGTGGTGGCTGTGCTCACCGCCCATGCACCCGCCTGGGCCACCGCCACCTGGGAAAGGCCTGATGCCACGCCGGTCTCTAGCCCTGTTAGCAGAAGGAGCAGGCCAGCCTGGGGAGGGCATGTCTCCAAGTCCAACTGGGCCTGTCCCCTGGGCATAGCCCAAGTACTTTCCAGATGGGTCACCCCTGCTGTCTTGGGTCCCCTATGCAGAATGGAGTGGCAGGGGTGGCAGTGCCAGCCACAGGCAGGTGGCTGTGAGGTGGGCTGCAGCTGATGCATGGTCCGTTTTGCCATGGGCTTGGTGGGCAGTGCGCTTAGTAGGTGGCAGAGGTGACGAGGTGACCATGCTGGCAAGGGGGACCCTGATCCCAGCCTCAGAGCCTGACATGATGTGGATGCTGCCCCTTGTGCTCCTGCTGGGCTCCTGCAGGGCCCCCAGGGTCCCAGGGCAGAGCCCCTAGAGGGGCCAGGCTCAGGGCCGCTGCCTCAGGGATGTGGGCTGGCTGGCCACAGGCCTCCTGGCCATGCTGGGGGACGCTGCAGGGGCCGCGTGTCTGCAGGCACCACCTGTTGGCTGCTGCCCTCCTGGCTCTGCAGGCCACAGGCTGGCCTCCTGCTAGGCCTTTGGCCCTTGGGTCCAGCCCTGGACACACCGTTTGTGGGACTGAGAGCTGCTTCGTGCCATGGGAGCCCAGGGTCCCACTGAGTGAGTGTGCTGTCTGCCCCCGCCACCGTCTCCCTGCCTCCTGCTGCACCCACGTGCCGACTCTGTTCATACCTGTGCTTGTGTGTCTCCAGCTCACGAGGGTTGCCAGCCATACCGGACCCTGCCTTCGGCTCCCTGCGGCTGGAGGAGGTGCCGCCGGCCAGCGGGGCAGGCTTGTGTACCCCCTGGACCACCCAGAGCTGCGGTAAGGGCGTGCCCACGGCCAGGCCCTGGGCTGGCTGGTCGGGTGGCCAGGGAGGTCCGCTGGGGACCCCCTCCACAGCCTAGCGCTCAAGCTTGGTCTTGTGGGTAGAGAACTGCTTTTCTACGTGGAGTGCATCCACACGCCAGTATTAAAGTTTTTTGGAGGCTTTCGGGACCCTGCAGCGTGCTCTGTGCCCTCGTCACGCCTGTGTGATGTGCATGTGGCCGGAGAAGGGCCAATAGGCTTATTTCGTGAATGGCTGTGCTCCCGCTGCCACCCTGTGTAGCTCAGGTCACCTCACACGATGCCTCCTGACAACGTCCCACAGCCCGGGACTCTGCCTTTTCTTCGGCTACTTATGTGTTTTTGCTCCTGGGTTACAGAGGTGGGGCTTGCTCGGTGTGGAAGAGCTGGTGCCTGGCAGGGGTGCAGGTATGTCCAAGAGCCACGGAGGCCCTGGGGATGCCCACCCTGCCGGGGGCTTTGTCCGGGCAGTGGCATGTAGGCCAGGCCACAGGGACCCTCCTGCCCATGTGGCTCGGGGAGGGCAGCTCGGCGGGAACGGGGGGCTGACTCAGAAGGCAGGGGACCCCCATTCACTGTTTTATGGTTATTAGTCTGTTGATTTCTTTAGAGCAAGTTTTGAGTGTGGGGGTCACACATGCTTATGTCTGGCTGTGGGAGGGACGGGCAGGCGGGCTGGGTATTCAGAGGGAACGTGGGCCCCCAGCCCTGAGCAGCCACAGACACCACCTGCACATCCTCACAGCGGCCTTTGAAAGCCTGGGGTGGACTGGTTGGCAGAGACCCAGGCTTTGCCCTCCAGGTCCAGGGCCTCGGGAGAGGGGAGGGAGGGTTTCAGTCCTGAGATCTGTTTTCCTACAGATCTGGCTTTAAAGCCAACTGCCCCATAGGTCGGGCCCTCCCAGAAGAGGCTTTCTGGTGAGGTGCCCAGCAGCACTCACCCAGTGGATGGTGCCCTTCCCAGCTAGGGGCCTCATCTGGCACGTGCCTGCGGCTCCTCTCTGTGACTGGTAGAAGGGGCTGTGTGTGAGTGTGTGTGAGTGTGTGTGTGTGTGTGTGCTGTCTGTCTGTGCACGCAGGAGGGGCTGTTGGGCTCACACCTGGGGTCCTCTGAGGCAGAAAGAGTCTGTAGCTCCCCCACCCCACGGTCTGTCTCTCCCACCTCCTTGCCTCTCCCTCTGGGAGACTCTCCCAGCCTGGGGTGGGGGCTGCTGGAGGCCCCAGGCCAGGGCTGCTGACCCTCCCAGTCCGCAGGGTGTGCGGAGCCCCAGCAGCCCGTGTGTGTGTTCTGCGCACACTCTCGCTGAGCATCACCGTGTGCTTGGCACTGACTGGAGCCGGAGCCCTGCCCTGGTGGCACCTGCGTTTTGGGGAGTGTGGCAGGAAGAGGAGGAGCAAGCGACACCAGTAGGTGGAACCCTGAGCTGTCAGGGCCTGGAGGAGACTCTCCCCGGAGCGGGGCAGATGGCGCATGTATTGGGGAGTCCACGCCCAGGAAAGGCCCTGAGGGTTCCCCAGCAGGTGTTAGTCCACCTTTGCTGTTGTGACAGAATACCTGAGACAGGTGATTTATACTGAATGGAAATGTGTTGGCTCACAGTCTGGAGCCTGGAAGTCCAAGAGCAAGGTGCTGGCATCTGGCGACGGCCTTCCTGCTGCGTCTTCACGTGGCCGAAGGTGAGGGAGAGAGAGATGAAGGGGGCCAAACTCCCCTTGTGTGACGAACTCACTCCCGCGATGGCAGCATTAATCCACTCACGAGCGTGGAGCCCTCGTGGCCTGATCACCCCTGAAAGCCCCCACCTCTTTATTTTTTTGTCTTTTTCATGACTGGTAAGGGGGTCGCAACCCTTGGTGTGGTGTCGCCCACACTGTGCTCAGCCAGTGAGTGCACCGGCCATCCCTATATAGGATCCGAACCCGCAGCGGGAGCGACGCTGCGCTCCCAGCGCCGCACTCTCCCGAGTGCGCCACGGGCTCGGCCCAAGGCCCCACCTCTTAACACTGTTCAGTGGCAATGAAATTTCAACGTGAGTTTTGGAGGGCACAGCCACTCCGACCACAGCACAGACCCTCCTCCAGGAAGCGCAGCCCTCGCTGGGGGTGCAGACTGTCCTTTCCGAGGGCTGGCTGAGCGGCGGTGGCCGCCGTGTGAGGGTACTGGTGGTTCCCCACGGCAGTGGGCAGCCCCTCTAGGCCAGGATCTTGCAAGGGGGTGAGGTGAGGGTCAGGCGGCCCTCAGTGTTTACCCCTGATTCACCATCCTCTGGGTGGAAGGTGCCGGCAGCCACAGGGGGACAGGCAGCAGGAGTCCATCAGCTCCAGCTTTTACCACCACAGGCAGCACTGTCCTTGGAACTTTCTAGACTTGAATGCCTAGGCCAGGGCTTTCCAGTGGAACTTTTGAGACTCAAACATCTAGAACAGAGCTGTCCAGTGGAACTTTCTAAACTCAAGTACCTAGGTCAGAGCCGTCCAGGGAACTTTCTAGACTTACACATGTCAACCACACTGTTGAATAAAACCTTCCGTGGTGAGGGAAATGTTCCATGTTCTGCACTAGCCAGTATGACAGCTGCCAGCCACAGGTGGCTGTCGAGCCAGCGAAAGTGGCCAGTGTGACTAAGAGTGGAGTTTTGCTCTCACTTCCTCTCCTGTGAGTTTAAGTGTGTGCAGCAGGGGTGGCTGCGGCCACCACGTGGACAGCAAAGCTCCAGCCCCCAGATGCAGTGCTCCCACCCTGGCCGGTGTCCTGTCAGATTCCTTCTGGTTTGAGGCTGTGGCTCCCAGGACCTAAGCACCACAGCTGAGACCACAGTTAGTCATCATCGTGATTATTGCCCAAAGTGACACCAGCTGCCACATGGTGAGCACTCATTAAACCATTCACTGGATGCTCACAGCTACCAGGCACTTTAGGGTGTCACCAGAGGGGTTGGGGAGTGAGGCCCATGTCATTCTTTGCTCACTGGGGGCAGCTAGCTGCTTGGCCAGCCAGGGCCGTGCCCGCCTCGGGGATGGCTCACAGCTCAGAGCTCAGGGACATGTGGCCCCTGTCTTTCTGGTGGCCTGTTGGGGTGCAGATGTGGCTGGCAATAACCAGGATCTCCCCCTCCTCAGGCCACATGGCGGGGAGATCTGCAGGGGCCTCAGGACTGGAGCATGGGTGGCTCGGTGCAGGACCGAGGCACCTTGTCTAGCGTCAGCCTCTCTCAAAGGCCACAGAACAAAAGCAACGGAACATTTTCCTCCCTCCCCTGAGAATTTCAGCTCAGAACAGACACTTGAACCGAAAGGCTTAAGAGCATCTTCACTTCCCGTCATGGCCAGTTAGATTGGGGTGCCAGGGTCACCCAGGGGCTCAGCGCGTGTTAGGTGGCCGCCACCCTGCTTCTCACCTGGGTCTGATGCTTCAGAGTTTCTCCTGCTGCCCACGTGGAAATGCCCAGGAACTGGCTTAGCTGCTGTTCAAGCTCTTCAGCTGCTCTGTGACCAGCTGAGCCACACGGTCCTGGGAAGGAAGCACAGTCTGTCCGGGAAGGTGCTGGCCGCCGGCACTCGTGGCAGGGGTTCTGTCTGGTGTCCCTCTGCACGCTCAACAGCGACGGCTGAGGAGCTCCTCAGGAGGGCCCCGCCACCCACAGACCGGGGGCCTGAGCCTGGGTGAGCGACCATCCTCTGCGGGCCTCCTCTGCCAGCTCTCAGTGGGCCCAGGCCCAGGAGAAGGCACAGGACAAGGCCAGGAAAGAGCACACTGCCCGCCCCTCCTGCCGGCAGTTCCTCCTGGTGGCAGCCTTCACAGGGCTGGGCGCGCCAGTGGCGGGCAGAGTCAGAGTCCAGTCCCTGGAGGACCACCAGAAAGAGAGAGAAGCCCCCTCTGCTGCCCTTGGGGACGTCATCGTTCAGGGGGGAGCTGGGGTTTTCATACTCATACTCTGGAACGATCCCAGACATCGCATGGAGCACGCCTGGACTGTGCCCTCTCTGTCTGTGTTAACGCACACCCCCCTGTCGCCATCATCGTCACTGTTAGCAATAGGAGCAGCTGCCACCTGCTCAGTATTTATTGCATCTCCTGGAATCCTCACACCAGGAAGTAGGACCTCTGTGTCCCCACAGAGGCTGTGATTGATGAGGAATTTGTTTGAAGTCACCCAGCAAATGCATGATGGAGCCAAGACTGGCACCCAGCTCTGTTGGGTGGCAAAGCCCATGTCCCTGGGCCCTGTGGCCTCTGCAAACTGAGGTTCCAGAAGGAGCTATGGCCGAGGGCCAGGCAGAGCGAGACTTGGGGGTCTGAGGCTGGGCTGCAGCTGTCTGTCCCTCCATGGTGCTCCCTCTGGACATGTGGGGAAGGGGATATTCTTGATGTAATCGATGCATGCCCAGCTGCTGTGCCTGTTTCCTTGCAGGTCGAGAGGCTGTATTGCCCTGCCATTGAGCATTCAGGCTGCAGCAAAGAGAGACCCAACAGGGCCCCCAGCTACTCAGCAGCCCCTTCTCTGTGGGTCCGCAGGTCAGCAGGAGCCTGGCAGGCCACATCTTGAAGACCCGAGTACTGGGCACCTTGCTGACATCCAGCAGAAGTCCTTGAGCTTCCCGAAGTCCCTGAAGGTATGTCCCACCCCTGTGATGTCAGGCCGTGACAACCATGTCCTTTTTAGGCCTCTTCTGTTCAGGATGAGCTGGGAGCAGCCTTTGTCCTGAGGCTGAGCAGAAGTGGCTCCAATGTGCGGGACTGTAGAATTTGGAAACAGGGTGGCTCCAGTGAGGGAGTGAGCATGGAGGTGGGGGACAGTTAGCTGACCGGGGCACCTGGCCTTCCAGGCGGCAGGATGGAGAAGCCCCAGGCAGGGAGAGCAAGTCAGGCGCCGGTCCGTGGGGTGACCCTCTGAGGAAGGGGTCTGCTGTCTGCGGGGGCGGCGTGCTGCAAACCCTGAGGCCTGGGCTCTCTCTGCAGCTGGACCATCGGAAGCAGGAGCAGGCGCTGGCCTTCCTACGGCAGCAGGCAGAGCGGGAGGTCTGGGAGACGCAGATGACCCTGGATGGGCTGCTCTTC